TTGTAAAACAAGCCAATTCACTTCGTGAACTCGGCAACCATGTTACCGTTTTTGTTTTTTTACCTCGTTTTTTTTGGGGCGGTAACCATAACGGTGGTCGAGTAGATCATGTTGTGCGGGGTGGAGAACCCTCACTCCGCGCAAGGGGGATGATCGCACCACGTTTTGTCGAAATGGTCAAGCACCCTCGAGGCAGTTACACAGTGCTTACAACTGTCTCTGGAAGATAAGCACCAGAAAATAAATTGAGTCATACGCAGCTGTCATCCGTACGCAAGGAAGTAAGCACAAGATGCCGAACACCCTTAGCAGGATGCAGCGCACCCTTCATGCGACTCGCCGAATACCTCACGGCGCTTCGCGCTTGGTGATGTGAGAGCCTGGTCCGGTGAGAACCCGGCGTGCTCCGTCCCGGCTTTGTAGGAATGTGAGGTCAATGGTCTAACGATACGGCGTACACGACTATGAGTACACCTTCAACCCTCCCCCGACCCTCTTCCACGACGCCCGGTCCGCCCACCGCGACAACCAAACGCCCACCTGGATCTTTCCCATGAGCTTGTCCACCTTCCCGGAGATCTTAAGCCCAATCTCGAGGCTCATATCTCTAGGCATGGGCTGCACGGCGGGGGCATCGGCGCGGCTGAAGAGCTCCACCACTAGGGAGGAGACACCAGCCGCCGCCATGAGCGGCAGCACGATATCGTAGTCCTGAAAGCAGCCGAGCCCACGGCAAGAAAAGAGGAGGCTTTCATATGACAAGTCTGAGCGGCAGCATGATGTCAAAGGCCAAGAGAGCAAGTATAACGGTATCCTTGAACGTGTGAAATCTACACCCATGTCGGCTCTGTTCTAGTGTGTAGAGCCGAAAAGTGGTGCCGACACAGACTCGAAAAGGCTCAAGTTCGCGTCCACCCGGCTTGCTATGGGCACCAGGCTTTATGGAGCTCCCCGACTGGCCAAAGCTAACACGCGCCGAGAAAAATTATAACAGGCGCAGGCCGGCCACCAACTGGGCCAGCTGCAACACGGCAGAGGAGCGCACATTCATCATACGAACCCACACAGTCGTCGCACACACATCTCCCCCGCCCTACTCCCGAAACCGACAAAAAAAAACACGATGGTACCCCCCCACACCACCGACACGCACGGGGCCCCCACCTTCGTGAGCTCAAATAGGAGAAGCGACCCCGTCAGTGGCGCGCGGTACAACGCCGAGAGCACCGCAGCCGCACCGACCATGGCGTAAGCCGGGGACCCCGCGATAGTCAGCAGTGAGCTCAGGTCACCACCGGGGCCCCCTAGACCGAGGACAGATGTCACCGGTAGCAGGAAGGTGCTCGCGGCAGCGAGGGATGGGCCAGCGGTGGATCGGAACGCCGTCAAACAGGCCTGAAGGGGGGGGGCGCCGCCGATCGATTGTTTGAGAGGGGTGGGGGGGGNGGGGGGGGGGGCGTACTCTTATGTTTTGCATGCCTTAGCGGTTAGACCATTGACCACACGGGGGGGGTAGGATATTCTACGTTAAGTTTTGGTCACGTGTGCGAGCCGTAGTCGTCGGGGCCAGTTACGTTAAATTTACATTTTCACCAATGATGGGTTCTTGTGTATTGGACAAACGAGTGGCGGTGGACGTGGAACGGGCGTGCCCAAGCACTAAGATCTTCAAGAGGGCGACTGCCGGTCATCAGTGCACATCACTCCAGATGGGCAGAACCATTCCTCCTCCTGGCAATTTGGAGGGGGGGGGGGGGGGGGGGG